GAGGAAAAGTGGTCTTTTTTTAAAAACCTTTCATATAACAACACCTCTAGTTCAATTTATCGTTTATAATTTATAATTTTTCATATAAAACGCGCAGTTGATGAGAATTGTGCGACGAGTTCACGTCAATATTTTCGTTCGACTAAAGAAAGTTCCTAAGAACCTTTTCTAGTGGTTCTTATGTATCGGTTGTTGGTTTAACAAGGAGAGTACTAAAAAAATTTCTTAGTAACATTTTGGCATACTATAAACAGAAAAGGTACTTTACCTGACACAAAAGCAGTTTTCACTTCACTGTCAAGGCTTACTTGCTTTTTAAAACTTGATAATATGTTCAAATATTATCTTTAATCAAGTAGGGCTAAACCCCAAAAAATGACAATTAATATCGAAAAAATTTTACCTTTTATAAGAGTCGTTTCACCTATCCGGCGACACTCTGTATATTATTTAACCTTGCAATACACGCGACGTCTTAAGAAACACACGGTCAAACCTGAATGTTTCTACTTTTAGCTCTAATGTTAGATCTACTATTAGTGCAATGAAAATATAGAACAAGCTACGAGCTAACACTAGAACTAGAAACATTCAGATTTAGCCGTCTTAAGAGACACATGGCTAAATCAGAAAGGTCTAGTGTTAGTTCTACATTCAGTTCAATAAAGTCATTCAGTTCTTTTTCGTCTCCTCTTGATCCTTATGCCTGATGGCGTCGGACAACTCTTTTCTTATATCTCCATCCACTTCTTCCACTCCCTCCGATGCCTGGCTAATTTCTTTATATCTGCTACAGTCTTCCCTCTCTTCTTCTCAACTTCTTCCCCTCTTTATCTTATCCTTATTTTTTTGCTTCAAATACCTTTTTTACTATTGTGTTATGTTCCATTCTAATTATGTGGGTGTACCAGTTTACTTTTATTTCCTCATTCCTTATCCTATCCCACTTCGTCTTCACCACTATTTTACGTAAAAATCTAATTTACATTGCTGTGATCTTTCCTTCTTGTTTATCTTGGAGTGTCCATGATTCACTGGCATATGTTAATATTGGGACTGCCACCGAGTTGTACACCTTCATTTTTATCTTTTTATCTATCTCCTTTTTCCCAAAAATTGTTCTGTTTAGAGTATGATATACGTTGTTTGTTTTCCTTATTCTTGCATTTACGTCTAAATCTATCCTTCCATCTTGTGATATTATACTTCTCCAGTACTCATACGATGATACTTCTTCTATCTTTTGTTCCTTAATAAATAATTCTTTCGGGTTATTTCTTATTTCCTTTTTATTTATTATCACGATTTTACATTTATTTACGTTCAATTCTAGGCCCATCTATTCAATTTCTTCTGTCTATATTTCAACCAACTTCCTTGCCTTTTTATAGTTCTCTGCTATCAGGACTATGTCGTCAGCATATAGTAAATTATCTATTTTTACTGGCTCCAAACTTTTATAACTTAACCTATTACTGTTTGATATTGATTTGTTCTTGTTCTTGTATTTTTTATCACTCTGTCCATTAATATTATAAATAACAAGGAACTTAGGCTATCGCCTTGTTTTATTCCCTTGCTCATTTCAAAAGTTTTTGATGTTTCTCCCTTCATTTGTACTATACCCTTAACTTTCTTGTACAGGTTTTCAATTATTTATGTTAGTTTTTGTGGTTAACCGTGTAAAAAAATGCTTTTAGGTCGAAGAATACTACTTAGATATAGTTCTTTGCCCGTGTCTATTTTCCTTTCAATGATATTTCGGATTACATGTATGTTATCGTTTGTTTGTTTGCTTGCTCTGTATGCTGCTTGTTCATCTTCTAGTTTGTTTTCCACTATTCCTATTAATCTTCTTTCTATTATCTTTGTGTATAATTTGTAACTTGTAGATAGTAGGCATATGGCTCTGTAATTATCACAGTTGGAGTAGCTTCCTTTTTTATGTATTGGTAAGATGATATTATCTTCCCAATCTTTCGGGATTGTTTCCGACTTCCATGTGATCTTATACATATGTATGTACTTAAAAGGAGTGGTTTTATATACATATACTTAGGAAGCCACTCCTTCCCTTTCATCCCCAAATATGTTATCATCTCCGGATCTATATGGTTTTTTCCGCAACCCTTGTCTGTTTTCATCTTCATCATTGCCTCTCCCAATTCTTCCATTATTATCTCTTCAGTTGCTATGTCTGTGGTGTCTTTTCTTATCTCATCTTTTCTTCACTCCTCCATTGTTTGTGTTCGTTTTCCATCCCTGAACTTTTCTGCATAAAAATCCGCCCATATGTCCAGAATTTCCCTTGTAGTTGTCTTTATCTCGTTGTTTTTATCTTTGACGGCTTTTATTTCTTTCCTTTGATCTCTCATCAATTTTCTTATTTAATTCTAAAATGTCCTGTTATTCGATCCGTATGTTTCACTTAACTTTCTTCCGAACTCTTCCCAATTTTTCTTTTTCGCCTCCCTTGCCATATTCTTAGCTACATCTCTGTTCATTCTATAGTTTGCTCCATAGTCTTCCGAATTCGTCGATTGCCTGTCGGACCTCTTCATTTCACCAGTGTGTTCTCTTTGTCTGATATTTTTTGCAATTCGCGATTGTAATGAAAGCTATTACAGTACTCAAACGCATCCGATGCTGTAATGAGATTTTAGGAGCATTTTATGGAACCAGTTTAAGTTGGTGACATTGGGTCATTAATTTTTCTATACTCTGTTTTTAAATCAGGAGGAGTATTTTAAATTTGTCACCAGATTGACCTTGCACGTGATTGGTTGAATGCGAGGAAGGTTCACACACAGGCAATTTTGATTTTGAATTTGAAGGTTAGGTTATTGATCGTTCGACCGTTTCGTGTCATTATTGTAAATTTTGTGTTCTTAAATCCTTCTTTATTATATTTTAAAATAAATACACTCATAACTTCAATGTCAATTTGTATGTTTAGTGTTGACGATAACAAACGAAAATAAATACAATAATAAGTAATAAAATAAATAATAATAATTATTAATTTAAATTTACCGCCAAAATATCTAGTGATATTTTCTGGTGATTTTTCCTAGTGTAAATGTGGCTTTCGCGTTTACTCCTCCTGATTTAAAAACAGAGTATAGTTGTCAATGTCACAATTTTTGTTCATGGATGTTTAAACATGTTCTTAGCATCGAATACAAGGTTCACAATGATAAGGACATTGAACTTTGAGCAATCTCTCTTATTTTGGGATGTGTACATGAAACATTTTTTTAGCTGAATACATTTTGTGCTTTGACAATTTCTAATTGTCAATTCAAATTTCTATTTTCAAGTGTTATGGTGTTACCAACTGCTACATACCTATTTCACTACATTGTCAAAATTTATTTTATTTTTGTTAAACAAAAAGGATAAAAGCGCGAATTAAAAAAAATAGCATAAAAAACACGTTTCATAAGACTTAAAGCACTCATTCATTAAAAAACTCGTGGCTTTGCCACTCGTTTTTCAACTTAAATTCGTGCATTTCAAGCATGTCTTACGAAACTTGTTTTTTTTGCATGGAGGTGTTTTGCAACACCTCCATAGGTTTATTTTGAATTATCTCTTTAAAAATTCTCCACCTTTCTTTTAGTATTAAATTCTCTGTTTGTTCTAGTTTTTGAAATTCGTTGTTTTTTTTTTCTTGGTATTTTAGTCTTTCTTCCTCCTGCCTTAGTTTATGGATGTTTATTTTCGTGTAGGTTTTCATCTCTTCGTATATGATGTAATCAATAAGTCTTAATCAATAATGTAACTCATAGCATTCCTTTCTTCCGCCAAAAACGTATATATTTATCTTGCCTCCTCTGACTCCACATAGTATTTCCAATCAATAAGGCGTTTATTTGACAAAATTCCAGCATTCTTTGCCCACATCTATTCATCACTGCCTCTCCCTGATTCTCATACTCTCCTAACTACTTCCCCTCTTGTGTATGTCATTACCTATTCTTGCATTCCAGTCTCCCACTATAATTACTTCCTCTCCTTGTTCTCTGGATTTATGGAAGGTTTTCTGCAGACTTGAGTTAAAATCTCGCATTTTCTGTTCCTTCCGTTGGTTCGTAGATTTGAATTATATTCACCTTTCCGTTTAGGCCAATTCCCAACTTCAGAGTTTAGTGGTGCATACTTAATTACTCTTTTATTTAGCCCATGTATTTTCTTGGACTCCTGAAAAGTATAGACTATAATTGTTTGATAATCGTATGTTTCCCCTTCCCTTCTTTTTCGCTTCACTAATACCCATTGTTTGTATCCCAAGCCTCCATCTCCTCCATTATTTCCCTTTCCTTTCCCGTTAAACTTGTAATATTCCACGTCCCTCATCTTTATAACTTTCCTATTTTCTCCTTGCTTTTCCTTGCGTTTATCCATATCCCTGCCGTTTTCATCCTCAGTAAAGTCTCCTTTTCTTTCTACACTTAGGTTTTTGAATTTATAGGACGTCTCTTTTTTTCTCTTTCTATATCGTTCGGTGATACTGTAAGTTTATTATTCCAGGCAGCTTTTTCATCCACTATCTTCCCCTCGTCGTTTGCTTCATGGTTTACAATTATTTTGTTGTATTGTTAATGAGCTTTAACTCCTTTCCTCCTGAGTTCCCTTAGTTTAGTCATCAAATCATATCTCTCTATCTGAATTTTCTTAGAGTAGTTCTCATCAATCCATATGTTCGTTCCTTTCAACCCTTTAACGTTTTTTAGGATATCCACCCTTCTTCTTTCCTTTGTTAGTTTTACTAATATCGACCTATTGTTGTTCATTTTATATGCTCCTATTCTACTTTTCCTTGTGATATCAATATCAATTAAGTTTACTCCGATATTCCTCATCAATAAAAATATACAACAAAAAGTGACGCTGAATAACAACTGAAACTAGAAGTTAGACTACGCCTAGAACTAGAAGAAAGTTTCCTCGAGCGTGTGTTGAAAGGTTAATTATTTGGATTTCTCTTATACTTTAAGAACTCGAAAAAGATTCATTTTGCAACGAAACCGAAACTGTTTGCATTAATTTTTCCAATTATCCAACTTGTATAAACAAACAATTAATGTGTGATGGAATCATAAATTGCGGCAAAAAAGGATTCTACGACGAAGATAATCAAAAATGTTATCAAAGTAATATCAATTCTCCTATTTATTTAGTTGCTTTTAATTATTTATTTTAATTTTAGGTTCTCTCAAAACGGAATTGAACGATATAATCTTATTAACGATAGCGATTACAATTTTTGTTATTCTCTTTTTAGTGCATAACATTAAAAAATCTGTACCTTTCCTTTTAAAAATTCTAAAAACGAAGCGGAAACGCAGAAAAGATACGATGGTGTTCGCGCCACATCGATCACCCGCCATGAAAACTTATATTCCGGTGAAAGCGGTCGATACGTTGCATTTTCGGGTTGTTTCAGCACAATCTATGAAATATACTTAATAAAAAAAATATTTATATCAAGACGATTTTATTTTGTTTTTAACTTAAGTGGTTCAAAGTGATAATGCGGATTTATACTTTAAATGTTATAGATAATATTATGTATCTTATCTAATCTTTATCTTTAATATATGAAGATTAAATAATGAAAACAATAACAGTTTCGAACTTTTTTTCTATCAACAAAATGTTATCAAGGCCCATTAGCTCAGTTGGTTAGAGCGTCGTGCTAATAACGCGAAGGTCGCGGGTTCGATCCCCCCATGGGCCACTCACTACTATTTTTGCTTAGGTTATTCTCATACTTTTATTTATTTGCAAAAAACTGTATAACAATAATAATAAACTATATATTAAAAATTGAACCCAGTCATCTCTGACAATTTAAGAGCAACACAACCCGCTCCCTCACCCCTCACGAACCCCACCCAAACGCTAACATAAATAATATACATGAACTTACCAATCTCATGACAGAAGTCAATAACCTTATACCGTTTCCGCAGCAGTTAGCATGTCTTAACATAACGGGTGCAATGAGATCCTGTCCGACGGCTGCTTTGGAAGCCCTACTCGGTCTCACACCGCTCCACTTATACATACAAATGGAGGCAGCCTTAAGTGCCTTATCACTGAAAACAGTTTCTTCACTCAAGTTGATGCAGGGTAACCTGAGAGGACACCTGGAGATCCTCAAGGACCCATGTCTAAATTACCTGATTGAAATTACAACGGACCTCATACCGACGGAATACAATTTCAACCAACCGTATAAGGTCATATTTAGTAGCAGGGATGATTGGGCGAAGGGAGGGCCTCAACAAAAAAGAGGAGCCCTAGCTTGATACACCGATGCTTCAAAGACAGTAAGATCTGGAATAGGCATGGGCATCAGTGGACCAAATAGCCACATCAAATTGCCCCTCAGCTCGGACTTAACAATTTTCCAAGCAGAAGTTCTTGCTATAAACTTCTGCACCGCTTTGAACCTACAGAAGGGACAAAAAGGTGCATCCATAAACATTTTCACAGACAGTCGGGCCGCCTTACAGGCAATTTAGGCCTACACGTGTGGCTCCGCACTGATCAGAGAGTGTACCAACAACCTGAGAGAAGTCGCTAGGGGCAATGATGTTACCCTATGGTGGCTTCCAGGTCATAGCAACATTGAGGGCAATGAGAACTTCCAGGTCACAGACAAGCGAAGAGTATGATAACTCCGTCGCAAAACAAAACCAAAGAGGTTTTAATAACCTCTTAATACCACCTCTTCCACATTGGACAAGCTGAGGATCAAACTTGTCGACTATGCAACGACGAGTCAGAAACTGCTGAACATATACTGTGCAATTGCGTCGCCAGAGGCCGTCTAAGACACAACGTCTTCAGTAAAACTCCCCTGTTACCTACCGACATAAAGGTTCAAGACCTCAGGACAATACTAAGGTTCATTAAGGACCTACATTTGCCTTAAACCTTTGGAGGGCTAAAGTTACAATAGATCTTATAGGTCGCGGTAACGAGAGGGGCCGCTCTCCTCAGCCCGGCAGCAATAATAATAATAATAATAACGCTGGCTGTTTTGCTGGCCAAAACTCAATAACTTTAATAACTTCTACATGCATCTTCTGAATGTTGTTCGATTGGTAATACAGCATATTGTATTGATGCTTTTACCGTGAATAAGTATTTTGTGTACTGAAACAGGCATGTAGTACCATATACAACATACAGGGTGCCCATTATGTATGGAATATAGCATATATTATATCTTGGTAAGAATCAACTTTATAAAAAAACATTTTATAGAAAAGTTGTTTAATATTTTATTTGCTATAATAAGACTGTATTCAATTATTTTTAATTCAGAAAACAAATGAGCAATGTATTCTTTCGTTAGGCTCATTTGATAGAGATTACTTTTCTCTTTACGATGGCGTAAAATTTTTGTACCCTTACATTAGAAAATTTTTGAAAAAAATGTTAAAATTTGTCATCGTAAAGAGAAAAGGAATCTCTATCAAATGAGCCTAACGAAAGGGTACATTGCCATTTAAAAAACTTCAAGTGCTATTCGTTGCTCATTTGTTTTCTGAAATAAAAACAATTTAATGCTGTCTTATTATGACAAATAAAATATTAAACAACTTTTGTACCGGTGTGAAAACAGCACACCAAACATAGCAACCCATTTTACCGAAGACATCCGAGTATATGCTAAAGTCGGTTTTACACGATCATTTTTAAGTAAAATAAAAAGTATAACCCCACGTAAACGAGAATGTGCTCCGCGAATCTGACTACTGTAAAGTGTATCTAAAACTACCCCTTATGAAATAGAGTTGTTAGATTTTGTTGCGGACATTTCCTAAAGACGCTTTTAGCCACCCCCAAGAAAAAAAATCCTCACGTGTCAACGAGATTGTATTCCGCGGATCTGATGACTGTAAAATATACCTATAATTACTTCCTATGAGATAGCGTGCCCAGATTTTCTTGTAGTCAATTTCTAAGGACGCTTTTAGCCACCCCCTAAAGAAAAAAATTCGCCACAAGTAAACGCGAATGTGCTCCGCGTATCTGACTACTGCTAATTGTATCTAAAATTATTCTCTATAAGATAGCGTGGCCAGATCTTGTTGCACTCATTTCCTAAAGACGGTTTTAGCCACCCCCAAACGAAAAAAATTCGCCACAAGTAAACGCAAATGTGCTCCGCGTATCTGACTACTGCTAATTATATCTAAAATTAACCTCTATAAGATAACGTGGCCAGATCTTGTTGCACTCATTTCCTAAAGACGATTTTCCCACCCCCAAACGAAAAAAATTCGCCAGAAGTAAACGCAAATGTGCAAAATAATTCAGGGTTTATGTTACCTTTGTCGTATATACTAAAAAAATTACTTGAGTTACACTAAAAATAAATACGTTAAAGGATATATCATTAACAAAGACAATAAAAACTGATTTCGGCAAGTAAATTCTTAATCTTTTGAGAAGATTAATAAAAATAATTTAGTTAAAATAATGTTAGTTAGTAGTAATAATTGTTGTTAGTTAATAATTTTGTGTGCGAAATCATGAAGATCAAGGATTTATACCAAAATCAAGAAAAACACGTGATTTGTGCAGAAGTTAAGTAAGTAAAGTAAAACCTACTATACGAGTATGAAACAAATAATATCCCAGGAATAGCTGTAATTTGTCAATAGAGACAAAATTAGCTAATAAAATAAAGCACAAAAAATGAAAACCGAAATGTAAAACATAGCACAGAAACAAGATCAAAGTTTACGATGCCGATGTTTATTATGTTTATTAATGTTAGTTTATTATGATGAAGAAGACGGCGCATAACCAAGAAAAAGAAAGAGCCGACCGGAAGCAAATCAGATAGAAAACCAAAATTTTTTTTTAATAATAAAATATAAATAAAAAAATTGGAAAAGATCTGTTTGGTAATTAAACAATTCATTGTCAGTGTTTCTTAATTTCGAACAGTTCCAGATCCATTTTAAAATCTCTATCACATTTGTGAAAGAGTTCCATGTTCTCATATTTAAAGTAATCAAAATTAAAATAATTTCAGATACAATTTTAAGTATTATCAACGGAGCACATTTGCATTTACTTGTGGCGAATTTTTTTCGTTTGGGGGTGACTAAAACCGTCTTTAGGAAATGAGTGCAACAAAATCTGGGCACGCTATCTCAGAGGGGGTAATTATAGGTATATTTTACAGTCATCAGATCCGCGGAGTACAATTTCGTTTACACGTGGGAAATTTTTTCTTGGAGTTGGCTAAAAGTGTCTTTAGGAAATGACCTCAACAAAATCTGACCACACTATTTCATAAGGGGTAGTTTTAAATACACTTTACAGTAGTCAGATTCGCGGAGCACATTCTCGTTTACGTGGGGTTATACTTTTTATTTTACCTAAAAATGATCGTGTAAAACCGACTTTAGTGTATACTCGGATGTATTCGGTAAAACGGATTGCTATGTTTGGCGTGCTGTTTTCACACCGGTTTCATGATATGCGCAATATAACAAGCAGTTGTAATCCAACGACCCCAACGACTGACGGGGCCGCTCTACTATAAACTCAGCATATGCGATGTGCGGTTGAGTGGTTTGTTTCTTTGAATACTTTGACAGTTCACCTGGAGTTCCTTTCTGACTATTTACTCGCCGAGGAATCCCAAACTATCTACAGCGACTTTGAANAAAGTGCTGGAAAGAGAGGTCGGAACTAAGTAAAAAAAAACTATAATGAATGATTTAATCAGCGGTAAACTCAAAAAAAAACTTGTTCCTTACGCCTAAGTTGTTGGGTGGCTTTAAAACGTGTAGAATCGAAATTTTTAAGTGTTTAACTCCCCGAAGGCGTTCCAAAATTATTGAATCAGTTGATGAAATCCACAAATTGTGTATTTTCCAAAGTTTTATTTCCACAAAAATTATATTTCAATAAATCAACTAAGATATCACTATCAATTCAGCACACTTGCAAAACTCGACTGTCCATCTCAAGTCGGATGTATTTTTGAAACTTGAAACAAGTTTTCTACGTCATCATCTCCAAAACAAAATTCTTCTAAATTCAACGCTGGTTCAATTTCTATTTCTTTATTTGATTCTACATTAAAATTTCGCCGTAATACAAGATATATACTATATTCCATACATAATGGGCAGCCTGTATATAGCTCTACAAAAAGTTTTGCTGTTTTATATGCGTATTTCCCAAACATTTTGGTATCTATGGCTCCTCCGCTGATTAATGTTTGAAAAATTATGGAAAACTTTTTAATTAAATCCTCATCTACTCCTGTAATATCTGCTGTGCAAGAAGGATTCGAAAAGAATCTTCTAGCAGTATTACCATCGTTGGAGTTTCCAGTACCTTGACGAGGCTTATTAACAATTATACCTACTTCATCTCTAAATCGGTCTTGTACTTATTTTTTCTTAGTCTCCTTTTCAATCTTATCTTAAAATTGATACGAGATATGAAGAATCAACTCCATAAATCTGATCCAAACGTGTAAAGATGAGAGATCAAATTTCTATGTATCTACCCGAGATGATCTTGCTGTTACCTTCTACAGATTATTGATTTCCGTTAGTTTGGTAAGGGAGTATCTGTTAATGTGCTGCTCCATCGATCATTGTAAAAAACAATTGGTAGTTTACACTAAATTGTTCATTATAAGCTCATCTACACATACCATTATAAGTGCTGGCGCTAACTTATCAACTTGGGATTCTATATAATTCTAGACATCTCCTTCTCTTCGCAGTTTCTTTTGCAAACTCTATAGATATGGATCTACAGAATCGACTCGAAGAAGGAGTTGGGTTATCCCATAATGTTGTTGTGGATGTTTTGTCGGTCATACACAGAGGGATTAATGATGAAATAAACAAATCAGAATCAGTTATTTGATATGTTTCACCTGGCAGAATCTGTTTATATTGGCTTTGTCCAGAAGACCCATCACATCACCACTTACACATTAATATGAGATCAGTTACCGTAAGATATTTTAACACTTCCTCTGATTGTGTTGTAAAAAGTCTCTTGGTGGTGTCATATAATAATCGTAATATATTATCTAGATAGTCCTATATCTGCCATCAGAGCCAACGAATTTTCTTACAATGGACTTTCGATACCTTCATTTTGGAATAATACACGATAAACCAAATGTCGCTGTTACGTTGAGACATTTTTAATACTTTTAATAATATTTGCGTTCCTAATTTGGTACATTCTAATTGGTACAAACCTTCAGTCTGCACCAAGCGAGTGGAATTTCTTCTCTTTGTCCTTTCACTGGAATCATCAAATGTTTTACACGGGCGGCCTTTTCTGAGATTACTGCAGACATAGATGGTAAATTTTCCTCTTTTACGTTCACAACGAAATCTTTATCTAACAATTCAGAATTTTGCTTAAAAACGTTCTTTCATTATATGAGATGCAGACCATTTAATTTTGAAAGACGGGAGCAGAATATTTTGTGCAACACAATCTCTTCAGAGATCTTCTTCAGATAAATTAAAACGTCCTGCGATATAATTACGAGCAGAAGAAATGTGTTTACCATGTTCAATAAACTCGCAGTATTTTGCAGTATTTAGCAACTGAATAGAAGTATTACTACTAACTGTTCCGTTACTTACACTCGTATTTATACGTAAACCTAAATGTTTTTCAACAATGTTTTTTTTTTAAGGTGTAGCCAAATAACAATAGATGGAAAACAAGCAACGTCGATAAAATTGATAATTTTTGTAACAAGCAATGTTTATAAACTTATTAATAACCTATTTTAGAATTCACAAAACAATACCAATTTTAGAGTATAATATTCAAATTCATATATCACTTCCACACCAATAGAGACGTAATATCAAATCCCTTACTATAGCGGTCTTATACAAAAGAAAATCTAGCAACAAAACTAGCGAAGGTACTGACATTTCTTGTATAAAATGAATAGAATACCTACCTGTCAAAGTTAGTATATACAAAAAAATCAGAAGTATTTCCGAAATGGTTTCTAAAGTAAAAAGTTTTAGAGTTCCGCTCTCGATTTTAATAGCGTTTTTTGCATTCTTATAATTTTTTATGGTTTAGTTTGACCTTATTTCCCCCTTGACTTGAAAATGTTTGATAAAATAGGTTTTGGCCAGCAAAAGAGTGCTTCGCCCTACTGTGCGACGTGGAGGCTAGGAGTGATGAGTTGGAGACGCTGAGCACTCTGCAGACAGGTCGAGGCTATACAGGAGTCTGTATAGGAATGGGTAAGGTAAATAATGGGTTCATTTTAAATACATTTTATGTTGAAGGCATGACGATCATGAAGCGAAAGAAGCAAACAATTCAAAATATGTACTTATGGATTTACACAAAGGCAAGGAACAAATTAGTTTAGAATTAATAGCTAACAAATTAATTATTATTTCTAATAATTTTTAGTCAGAAATGCCGTTTATTTACAAATATTTATTAAGAAAAGTGAAAAGTTATAATACAAATCATTTTAAGTAATTATCTTTTTCTTCCTCAAAACAACAGGAACACTTGTACTTGGTAAATAACCTAATTCAGTTACCACTCCAGTCACAAATTCCGGCGGAGTTATATCATAAACCAAGGTGAGCGGTTTCAAAAACTTTTTTTGTTTCCAATTTTTCAAAACGCACTGATTATCATCGTTTGGACATTCTGTATTTATCACTTTATTCGGATCATCTACATAAAAAATAATTAAGTACCTAATAATTCCATTAAATTAATTTACCTATTTCATTGTAAACAAAACAATCCATTTGAACTTTCTCCGAAAATTTATAAGTTTCGCAACAAACCAAAATCGGTATACGAAATTTATGCGCAACTAACGCCACTTGCGAAGTTCCAGCCCGAGAAAATACCGCCCCATTTGCCAAAAGAGCGTGCGCTCCAAAAAGCACTTTCGTAGCTCTACGCATTATATGACTAACAATATGAATTAACTCGTAAGTGCAATCAATACCATGACACACTAAACGTCGCAACATTTCGCGACCTTCCAGCAAAGGTTTTGCATCCAAAACTATCACGTGAAATCGCTTTCCGGCATCATGAGCATCACATAAAATTGTTCGAATTAATGAAGAACTAAAAATTCATTTCCAAACAAATTAATTCTTTTGGTACAATTCAAGAATCATCATGTCGCTTAAAAATCGACATTTTATTTTAATCGACTCAAGTAAACCGTTACAAATAAAAAAAGTGCGGAATAGTGTAATACTTACGGAAAATTCACTTTAAAGTTTCGACGTGACGTCACGTTTTGTGGTTGGGTTAAACAACCCGATATTTTCTAGTTCTAGGTCTAGTGTTAGTTCTAGTTTTACACTAACACTATCACTAGAACTAAAACAAGATCCAGAACTAGAATCATTTGGGTTTAGCCGTCTTGAAAGACATGCGGTTAACCCGAATGTTTCTAGTTCTCGGTCTAGTGTTAGTTCTAGTTTTACACTAGCACTACCACTAGAACTAACACAAGTTCAATAAATTTTTATTGAACTAAAACTAGAACTAACACTAGATACAACATAGTAATATCTTACGCTAAACTACCGCCACCTACCACTGCCACTAAAACTAACACAAGACCTAGAACTAGAAAGTATCGAGTTTAACCCAACCACAAAACATGACGTCACATCGAATCTTTAATGTGATTTTTCGGTATGTTCTACACTTTTCCGCACTTTCTTTTTATTTTTAACGATTTTTTTTAGGTAATTTCACATTGATTAAAAAAGAAATAGTTGATTTTTAAGCCACATGGATGATTTTTGAATTATTCCGTTCTTTTCCAAACGTTTAAGGCATTATACCTAGTCAGCAGGTTTAAAAATATCGACTTTTGGATTTTTTCATTTCCTTTTAGTATAACATCTTTAGAATATTTCCTAAATGCTGTAGAAACGTCTGATTACGTTCGCCAGTTTTCGATATCATGGATTCAAAAGTTACGAGAGATAAAAGAAGCTCTAAGAAGTATTAGAAATCTAGACCGAAAGAAAGGAAGCAATATTTCAAACCTAAAATGTCGGAGAGAGGTGAGAGCAGTTTTAGTACGTCTAATCGTAAGAAAAAATTAGGAAAGCAGGAAGAAATCGTTGTGCCGCAAGATAACTCAATGGAGTTCAGAATTTTTAATTTTATCACTGTATTTTCCACAATTGCTACATTTGTAAAGTGCAAAACTTGTAACAATGATATAAAATTTGAAACTGCAAGCAGGCGAGGACTCGGTTTCAAAATTGCATTGATATGTGACAATTGCGCGATGAGATTAATACTGTCGTGCTCTTTTATTGGACATTCATACGAAATGAACAGACGCTTTATATTTACAATAAGTACTTGGTTTAGGATTGAAAGGTTGTGAAAAATTTTGTGGCCTCATGGATATGTAAAATTTTTTGTATCAGAGCATTTATGATCTTCTTGTAAATAATATACACACTTCTGTTTTGTTAGTGCGTGACAAACTCTTTACAAAAGCCGTTAATGAAGAGAACTTCCAAGAAGACAAATATTAACAGTTTCGGGGAACGGAACGTGAAAAAAACGAGGATTTACTTCGTTATATTCCGTTGCTTCAATTATAGGATATTTTACCGGTAAAGTACTTGATATCGCTATTAAAAGTACGTATTGTAAAATATGAGAAGTTTGGGAAAAAAAAGGGACTGCCGAGTATGAAGAATGGCAAGAAACACACGGACCCAATTGCACAGCAAACCATGAAGGTTTTTCTTGGAAAATGGAAGTGGACGTCGTCGTTGAAATGTTGAAGCGCTGCGAAACTTTGCACGGTATAAGATACGCTAATTACATCGAAGACGGCGATGCAAAAAACATACAACGGTATTTTAAATTCAGCTCCTTATGATGACGGAATTGTTAATAAAAAAGAATGCATTGCAGCTCGACCAACGAAAATCCGCAACATCAATATTGTCCTGCTACCTACAAGATAAAAACAAAACAAGACTTTTTACACGATTATTACGCATTACCGGCTGATGTTCTAAAGGCTATCACACCAATTTATGATGATTTGAGTATGGACGAATTATTGCAACAATATCTCGGTGGATTACACAAAATAATAACGAAAGTTATAATCAACTTGTTTGGAAAATCAGCCCAAAAATTATTCCTAGTGGCGCCAAAATTGTAGAATTAGCGGCTTATAGTGTGTCCCCGGATTGTGTCCCCGTAAGGTATAATTGACGATAAATTTTTGAATTCAAATTCCATCTTTTGCAATTAAAGTCTGGATGTCATAAAACGAAATATAACCAAGTTTTACGTCAAATATCCTCAAAGTACCAAAGTTAACGCAAGAAGTTTGTTAACCGTTGCAGGTAAAGTGGTCTTTCTGAGCAATGTACAACAAAAGTTGATTAAGATAAAATGTTTGTTATGTTAAATTATAGCGATATGCCGAATTTTATTAATTTAGCATATAAAAGAAAAAATGAGTTTTTTCTTGAAAATTTTTTTCTAATATTCCGTTTTACAATAAAAACAAATAACCTGAGTGAACTAACAATTATCATTTGATAGGTTAGCTTTAGCCTATTGTCAAATATTAATTGATCATGTTTACATTACAATATAAAATATTTATAGTGCAGTGCTATGGATTGGGGAACATTAGTTACAATGCAGTTTTAAGGCAATTTGAGGAAAAATTTGGATTTTTAGTAGATAAAAAAACAATTAAGAGAGTTGTTAAAAAATTTTCGGAAACGGGCAATGTGGAAAATAAAAGGAAGGAAAAAAAGCTTTTAGATGAACATGATGCGGGGTCGATTGTTGCAGTAACGAACGCAATGGATTACGGTAAGGTGTCGTTAAGAAAAAGGGCAGTTCAAGTCGGTATAAGTAAATCCCATTTACAAAGAATTTATCGAGAAAATAAAATATTGCCGTATAAACCAAAATTTAACCACACTATCGAATTAGGTGATGAAGCAAAACGTTTAGATTATTGTTTGTGGCTTGGGTACAAAATTTTGAAAGACAGAACTTTTTTAAAAAACATAAAAACATTGCGGCCCACATTCGACCATTTTAATTAGAAATTATTTAAATACGTTATTTCGAAAAAAATGGATTGGTAGATATGATCCGCAACCATAGTCGCCAAGAAGTCCGGATTTATTTATTATGGATTTTTATTTTTGAGGTTATGTAAAACAAAAAGTGTACACTGAAAATTTTAATAACAATTTAGACCGTTTAAAACAAAAAATTGAAACTGTTATTAGAGAAATTCCGTTGGACCATATTTGAAAAAGTTATAAACAATGTCGGAAAAGGGCTGAATTATGTGTTAGTGTTGGTGGTGGTATCATTGAATAAGCTTTTATGTTAATTTAGTTTAGATCGAAAATGTTTTGTTAATCTTATGATTTAAAAATCTGCATTTTGCTTTTATATCCTACATTAATAAAATTCGGCATATCGCTATAATTTAAACTAACAAACATTTTATCTTAATCAACTTTTGTTGTACATTGCTCAGAAAGGCCACTTTACCTGCAACAGTTAACAAACTTCTTGCGTTAACTTTGGTACTTTGAGGACATTTGACGTAAAACTTGGTTATATTTCGTTTTATGTCATCCAGACTTTAATTGCAAAAGATGGAATTTGAATTCCAAAATTTTTCGTCAATTATACCTTACGGGGACACGCTGTATAGCAACCTTCAGTTTTAATTAAGGTTTTTTAGCTTTATTACATTTCCGGTTATACCGGAAGTCGCCACCTACTTTATTTCTTTAAATGCAAATGTTTTTGCGGTTTATGAATAACTTTACTTTTTACAATTTGATTCGGCCGTTCTCGAGTTATTCGAATTTTTCGAAAGTGACCAAACGATCTGGACAGCCGTTCTCGGCACCAAAACATACTCCAACATGTTGCTTAATCATGTTCTGAATCTTAAATTGATATTCCAAAACTTGAGTGTTTTTTGATCTTTTGAACAAATCTTCGTTAATATCACAAACTGACGTATCTCAATTTTACCAATTTTCAGGAGAGCAGTTTAAAGTTATAGACAATCTTTGAAGTTGCAGTGTGTATTACTGTGAGGTATATATTTTTCAAGACTGCTATAGCAGTGTAATTTACAATTTATATGTGTAGCTTGTGACTGAATATACTGCAAAACGTGACTCAGTTGTTAGTTTTTGATAAAAAAAATTAGATACGACCGTTTGTGTGAATATTTTTTAGAAATCAGTAGATACGTCTATTTACTATATAGACGTATAATGAATATATATATATATAATGAATATATATATATATATTCATTATAGTATTCTTGTTTTGACCACTGCAGAAAATAATGAGGCGTGTTTCACCCCTCGCAAGTCATAAGCTTGATGAACTTGTGCCTTTGAAATTTGTCTTCTAATTTAGCTTTCACACTAGCTTCACCGGTTTTGTACGTCAAATAAAGTGAACATTGATTTTTCTTTGGAGTATGAAATGATAAATTCTGAGTTTTAAAGACCCTTTGACAAGTAGAAAAGCTTGCTTTAGGATTACCTTCAGACACAAACTGCAAATACAGATAGTACATTTTCGAAATAGAGAGTTCTGGATGTAAATAATCCCTAGTAGAGCTGCTTCTACGGTAGTGGTACTCCATTTTAGGAAACATGTTAATGTGTCGCAAAACATCAGAACGAATCAGTTGATCCCTTGCAATAACGCTTTCAGATTTCCGTCCACCTCTTTTATCTATTTCAACAATTCCAACCTCGTCTACTTTCTCTAAGGCTGTTCTCATTGTCCGTTCTGAAATATCCAAAGTATTCAAAAAAAACTTCTTACAGACAAGAACACGAGTTTGATTTATCAGGAAATAATGTTTAACAGTCTTTTTTCTACGAGAATCCACACATTTCGTCGTTTTCTGCTTTGTATCAGTAACTTGCGTGTTTCTCACAATAAATTTATGTCTGGCAGTTTATAAAACTTAGGGCCGGTTGTACCACCTCCCGACTAACTATCTAACTGATAATTACCATGGATACAGCGGTTTTAAGCGCTCTCATTGGCTAAGT